TGGGCACCTGCAAATAAATGCAGAGGTTCTGTTGTGGATCTGGGGGGTGTTAACCCCAACATCCATTATGAATAATCTGGGAGATTTTTTACAGCCAGGTATCTAGCCAACTCAGGATACAGGAACATGGAAAAAGCATAAAGAATTGAGAGCACCAGTGGTGCTAAAAACTGGTATTACTTAGCAGGGGCATAACTCATGTTTTCTTAAGAGAAAAACTGAAACTCCTAGACAGGCTGTTCCACGTGTCTGTCTGTATGCAACACTCCTACCATGCTGAAATTGTTACTATGCTGTCTTTTAACACTTCTAATTTATTTGCTACAATGTACTTGCCTATTTGAAGTCTCTACAAAGCACCATAAATCCATATTCTGTACTTCTAGCCTTCCTTTTTGGTATCTCCCTTTCCTCCTGCCCCCAGCATGGCTTGTCCCACACTCCCTAATTAGGAGTCACCCCTGTTGTGGCTGTGCCTGGCCAAGCAGCAGGGTTTCTGCACTCTGTCTACTGAGCCCCAGTCAGCAGACGCATACTAGTCCCACAGTCTAACTTGATTAAAATTAACCCACAGTTTAAAAAGTTGCAAGAGGACAGAAAGAATGACTGGATATCACCTGTTTTTTAGAAATACAAGCTAAAGAGAGTCACCAGCCTAAAAAGTCTAGATATAAGAAAATAGTGACAAGGGTTAGACACAGATAAGTATAAACAAGGAAATCCCTTTAATTTAAATATTAGTTCCTACTTTTCCTAAGGACTTTCTGTGCATCTTTGAGGCTTAAACATTATATTACCATAGAAACAGTATCCTGTGTCATTGTGGACCTTACTGTAGCTTGTGCTGTTATGGAAACAGTCATCTGAACAGCTGTCCTCATGTTATATATATTTCAGTTATTGTGTTTGTAAAGATCCATTTCTAGACTATCCTTTCAGGATACATTTTAATAAAAACTAATTCTCTAAAGTATTTAACAATTTTATAAACACCTTAAGGCTGCTCTAAATTAAAAATACAACATTAGAACAGAATTTATATTAAGATTACAGTGTCCTTTCAGTAATTACCTTTCCAAATCTCTGGCATCTGCAGAGGTTTGGGGGAAAAGATGGTCTGTCCTCCCCAACAATCATTAGTAAAACTACTTCAGGGAAACAAATTTTTAAGCCACGTGTTCTGGGCAAGGACTCCTTTGCATGCCTGAGTGGAAATACGAAGGCACTGTGAGGAGCTGGGGCTTAGCTGGTTGAACTGGGAACTGGGAATTCTGAAACTGTAATTCAAGGTGAACCATTCTTCCATCTTGCAAAAACCATCTAATATCTTGAAAAAGATACATGTGAGTTGGAAGCTCTACTCCCACTATTTTGTTCCTGGGAATTGAGTCCTTAGCTGATCCTAGAGCTTTGTGAAAATCTCCTCAACATTTTCACATTTGTAACATTTGAGATACTACAACTTACTTATTTCACAAGAGTTCTGTGGGCATACGTGTTTCTTTATTTTCTTGAGTAAAGCCATTGCAGAATCTGTGACAGAATAACAAGGTTTTGAGTTAGTGGTCATTTATCACTTAACTTGTCAGATGTAAATAGCTTCCTGACTAATTATATTGACTATACCACATAGTTGCTACAATTTAAGACTGTAAATGCACACTATCTTTTTTTTTTTCCTAATAAAAACATTCTACACCAAGGAGGTTACATCCCACCTCTATATTCCTATACAGAATACTGGTTATTACGGCTTGCAATGGGAGCATTTCCTAACACTGAAAAGATAACTAGAGAGAGCATTTTAACATGTATAAAGAAAACATCCAAATATCACGAATTCATTGATAAAATTCAAATACCTCCACTGAGCTTCAGGGAAGCAGGAAAACAAAAACTACTCGGAAACATGTCAGTTTTGAAACACAGCTAATTTCCCCTCATAAGGCCAGTGATGCAGTGATACCTCAGCTCTTACCATCATTTAAATGGAGTACTGTTTTTGTCATGTCCTCCTAATTTAGCCTTCAGTTTGACTCTTTAGGCACTTTCTCTTTCCTAAACCAAACCACTGTGTTCTTGAAGTTAGCTTAAAAAACATTAAAATTAGCCCATCGAATGTCCACCCCCAAAAAGGGGGACCACAAACGTGACTGTGTGCAGTCTGAGAGCACAGCCACCGGAGCAAGGAGCTCTTGGGCCTCGTGCAGCTTGTAGGCCAGCTCTAAACCCGCATGCAAACTGTCCGTGCAAAACTTGTTGGCATTCCACTGCTGGGACATGTAACAGGACAATTAAGAAGTCAACACAGAATTTATTTTTCTTTTTCCTTCAGAATACTTACAGGGTGTGCATGTTATGTGTCATAATTTATTTTGTTGTTCTGTTCACTACTGCCATAGAGAAGAGTTTGTTATCTGGATGGTTACCTGTGAAAGACTCCATCTTCGCAGCCGTGGTATTCCCCCTTGGCTTAGTCAGTAATCTCCATGAACTGTCAGAGCTCTTGGTGCTTTCTCATATTATTTCTGAGAAAACAGAATAAATTGAGTTGCTCAATTTAACTACCCAAGCTGACAGGTATGATTCCATCTTGTTCATCTCCCTAAATTGTGATTGTTCCAGTGAGGCTAATACTGTTCTCCTTCTCTCCATTTATAGCCACGTTTTTCAGAAAACAGATTTTCTGATCTTTATTTTTCAGTATTTCAGGTTTTTGGAATGCACACCCATTTCTTAGATTCCCTAACAGGCTACAGCAAAATACAGTAATTAAAAAGCAGGCGACATACCATACTGTCAATATAGGCCTTAAAAAATCCCAAGACTATAAGCAGATGAGGTAGGAATTACTTTTTGAAGGAAGTCTTTTCTAAGTGAGCACAGAAAGGATTCAACATCTGAGGTTTGCCTAAGTCTGCGTTCTGCAGACATTTTTTTTCATGTTTTTCATCCTCGCAGTTATTGAAATAATCAGATGAATATGGAACTAAAAAGAATATTCACCATCCCTTTGCTAAAGAAGGGTCTTTCTTACAGGTAGATGTTGTTAACTTTTGTTTAAATCCATGCAAATTCCTTGTATGAGTGTCCAGATGGTTTTGAAAGTACTCCTCTAATTTTATCAGCAAGAATTAAGATCTATATGACACACCGAAATACACATTTATAAAAGGAAGACTGATTTTGGAGTAACTAAATTAAATTCAATTAGTTTTAGTTGCTTGTGCTCCTGGGTTGTCTCCCAGTTCTGTGTTTAATGACGCTTAATGCAGGTTTTTATTAATATCATATTTTTACTTAGAACTTGCCTTGCCTGCTTTCATTACTAATGTATCTGGCAGCGTCAGTCCCTGTTGGAGGCCATATGCTCAGGGGAGTAGTCAGCTGTTCAGACAGTATTTGTTTTTTCTGTTCCTATGATACTGTACATTTGGGAGCCCTTTACTTGCAAGATACAAGGTATGAATATCTTGTTTAAAAAGAAAAGTTGCTGTAGCTATTTATACTCTTTATCTTACTTTTTTATAGAGCTTGATTTCTAATAATTACTGGTTTACAGTATTTTATGCATTTCAGAGAGCTGCTGTAAGTTTGGAGGTTGTCACCTGTAGAAAGTGTATATAAAACCAATTCTTATGTCTGAGCTTGGAAGCCATACATCGACACAAGCCAAGAAGGTCAAACTCCAGTTTTGCCATCACTAACCTGCTGGAAAAACAATGCATATCCTATTGAATTAGTGCAGCAGAACTGATAGAAATATTATTTACTTGTGCAGCAACTTGAAGTAGTTCTTAAATTACTCAAGTTTAGAGAAAAAAATAGAGGCAGCTACTAAGAAAGTGCTTTAATGTACACTGTGCAAGGACTAGATATGAAAAATTACATTTTAGATGGTTGTTTTGTGAGAAGACAAGTAACTTTTAAAATTACTTTATGCAAATATTTATTCCTTTTCTAAATATTTCAAACTTCAGTTTGTGGCTGTTAACGTTTTAGACTCTATACACACAGAACAAAGAATGTATCAGTGGATGCAACAGTGTGTATATCCTGAAGAGATGGATGGCATTAATCCAATATGGCTTAATCATCCTATGGAAAGTGCTTTGAATTTAACATTTTGTTCATTTATGCATATTGTTTATTCCTTTAATTATTGCTTTTGCTGAAACACTAAGCTGCAGACAGCTTAGTATATACAGCTTAGTTTCAGTACTGCAGTAAGTACAGGCATCATGATGATGAAAAAGCTTTTGTCTCCCAAAGTGCTAACTAATCATTACTAACTAATTAGCGATGCACAAATTAATAACAACAATGGGGATGGGGAAGGCCTAGAAAAGTCCAAGTTTCTGTGCCTAAGAATCATCGTGTGCACTGAACACTTCCCATCCTTGATACAGAGTACCAGCAATAGCATGGAGAAAACCAAGTGTACGATTTTACAGGTATACTGTGTGCACAGGTAGGAGTTAGGGCTGTGCTGACATTAACTTGGTATTCCTGATGAAGTGCAACACTTCTGTGTGTACCAGACTTGTACAAGCATGTTGAATGTGTTTGACTTTGGATCAGGACAGTTCTAGAGAATGTAGTGGAGTTCTTTTCAAGACTCCCAAGACTGGAAATATCCCCACATATTCCTTTGGGTTTGTTTGAGTGCTATATAATATTTCACACTTAAGTATTTTACAAGAATCCATAACCTGTAGTAACTGTCAGACAGCAATTACAGTACACAGCAGATTCACACATTTTATCTAGTTGGACTCTGCCCCTTGACTTTCATCACACCATCTCAATGTCTTTGATTTTATGGAATCTGTTTATTAGTTGAAAATGTTTATTACAGATTACCATGAAACAAAATACTTTTGTCCCAACTGTGCATGAAGAGTATTCCATTACTTTATTTATGTAGAAGATATTTGCATTATGCTTCCATCTTAAACTCTCCTATGAAATTAGTTATTTTTTTAATTTGTTTTTTATAGTTTATGCCTTAGGTTGGATGAAATACTCTTGAAAACCTTCAGAAGACTACTTGGAAAAGATACTGTTTTCAGTGAAGCTACAAGCAGGAAACTACCACTGGCCTGGTAAGATATCAAAACTTTTAAACCCTTGGAGTGCCTTGTACTTCATCCCTAGAAGGGAAAGGGCCACTCTCCGGTGTGATTTTTCACTTCTGAGCTAGCTGTTTCTCTCCGGATTGTCAGTTCTACCCAAACACCACAATATCTTCTCAGCTTGGAGCTTGGAATTCCTGCTGTCAAGGCCAGCTGAGAAGGTTAGGACTGAGCCTTAATTGCTGCTGCTATTAAAGATCCAAGGCCTGTAGTCCCAGAGATGAAAGGTCTTGTGCTCTTGATTGCTGAGACTGGGTCCTCCCCCTTCAAAAGAGGTGTTAAATACAATCCCAGTACTAAGGACAGCATAAGTAGACTTAAATCCAGGATCTAAGTTTTCTCAGGCCCACAAAATTTTGAACAAGACTGGTTTAATGGCTTGCTTTCATCATAGCTCTGTAGTCAGCCATTGACAGAGGTAAGCTAAAGGTGTCTCGAGAGTATTTGCTTATAATTGATCTGATAATTGTCTCTGTGATAGTTAAGGTGTCAGCACTGATGACTAAGTAGCCACTTTCATGCAGTAGTCTGTGCATGAAGAAGTCTCAACTTTTGTTTCCAGGTTGCAATTTCTCTAAAGCATGTCAAAAGATAGCTGATGGAATCCAAGATTTCTGAAACAGGGAGTTTTATATAAATTTTGAATAAAAGAGCAGTATTTGAAGACCATGGGTTATGTTTGTGTCTTAACATGTAATATGTCACAACCATGACCTGTCATCACTGGTTCTTCAAGAACTGCATTATAAATTTGCATTCAATGAATGTTTGACAGCATTTGTGTTTTATAAGAAATGTTGTCATCTTTAGATTTAAACAAGAATCAGAGGTAGTGAAGAAGCATGATTATTTCCAAACAACACAAATACAATTTCAATGTACTTTAAAATATATGGTTTTGTCTTTAATTGTGCTGTTACTGTGCTTGCTCATGAGTTGTGGGTGATAACATGTGATTATCATCTGCCTACTTGATCACATGCACATTTGTGATGCTTGCGGGAGAAAACATTATCTGGCTGGTAACTGTCATATTATGCAGAGTTTAGGAGACTGTTTCCCAGACAACAGAATAGTCATATTGCATCCATGAACTGTACACCATTGTGCATCTGCACTGAACTCAAACACCAAGTGGCAGCTGCTGCTCCCACTAATGACACAGACAAGATGGAACTGTTTGTATAGTCATAATCAAATCAAACTACCTGAGCTATGGAAGTCAAGGAAATTGCACAATTTCATAAAAAATCATTAAAAAAAATTAAAATTCATGGTTCTAATGAGTCATGCAGCACATATATTGTCACAAATTTTGAGTCAGGTTTTAAATTGAAACCAAATCACTCAGTCACCAAAAGCCATTTAAGGACTCTGTAGCTGCCTGCTTAAGAGTTCTGCTGCAAACCATAAATAAAGCGCACTCATGTAATGTGGTATGAATATGTTAAACAAACCACCACAGACAGCAGGAGGAAGACCTAACCTTAGAGTAGCCAGTATGCTAATGCTGAGGCAATGGGAGGGCCAGCTGGGTGTGATTGTGTGCATACTGAGTTTTTACATTTTGTATGTTGTCAGGTGGGAGAGAAAGCTGATAAGAAAAACAATTATTTGCATTCATCTTATATAAACAATATTAGAGACTGGTTGGTGTAGACGGTGTTAGACAGTATGTTTCACAACCGCAGTAGGTGTGTCACATGCTTGATAAGGAAGGTACTTGGCCAGTTTTGCACGAGGCAACAGTACTCTGAAGGTGTGCAGCCTTAGGTCTCTTAGAACGTTTTCTGGCAGAATAAAATAAAAGGGATCTGAAAATCAAATGTTGGCTCCAGGGCTACTTCCAGATCATTCTATTAAATGCATTTTTTTTAATATGCCCTAACTTAAACTAAATCTTCTAAAGCAAAGATAATGTCTGGGTTTGAATTTTCTTTTTTGGGGAGAGGGGATGTTGGTGAGGTGGTTTGGTTTGGTTTGGTTTGGTTTGGTTTGGTTTGGTTTGGTTTGGTTTTCCAGGGTGTGGTGGGTATTTGGGGAAGGGAGAGGCATTAACTGCTAGGGAACAAAAACTCAATCTCTCTGATGTTCTCAGCTTCAACGAGCTCTAATTTTTACCCCTTCTAGGTTTCCGGATGCAAATTTACAGGTGTAGACAGCAAAGGCCTGTGATTTGTGTATGCAACTCTTTGTGTAGATAGTTAGCAAAGCAAATGTGCTAGTGTGTAAAAATTGACAAAGGAAGTGTGTGTGACTTACTTCTAAGCTTGGCCTTTTCTGTAGGGCAGGCACCTATCCAAAGTTCAGGCAGTTGTTGTAGGCAGAGAGGTCTGTTGTTGACAGAGAGATCTGCAGCCTTGAGAGAAAGGCATGCTGTTGTTCTGTTCATTTGCTGTCACTGCCATGGAGAGATCCTTTGACTCTCAGCAAAACATGACCAGACCACAGTTGCTAAAACTGTCCAGTGTTGAAGTAATTTATGCAACCTGGTAAGTCAAGTTGATGAGTTAGTAATTTGACTGCTTTATTGAGTAAGTGGAGGCACCAGTACGGAGAGACCTCCTTCCCACAAAAACATCTCAGGTGGCTTTCAAAAGATCATGTAATACTTCAAAACTCAGAAATTACTTGGGGAGCCAGACTGTTTTAAATGTGCCTGAGAAGGAAATGAGCAGCATTTTGAAACAAGAAATACATTTGTACTAGTATTGTTAAGAAATTACATCTTTTCTGTTTTTTTTTCAGCTCCCTGTATCACCATAATAGAGAGCATCAGCACTTTTTGACTGTGGCCTTTGTACAACAGCTGTGCATGCATACAAATATATGAAACATTTAAGTGGTAGAAAAATAATATATATTAAGAAATTGCAGGAAGAATCCTTTTATGCAATCAATATTGGAAAACAAATTCTGGATCTGCATATAAGTCTGTGGGAAAGGGTTAGTACCTTACTGGTTTTAGTCTTAAGAAGGAACTATATGTCCCCTTTTTATGACACAAAAAATAGAATATGGCATCTGAGGATGAATAATTCTGACTATACACTCTGCCTTTTGTGTCATCTTTTTTCCCCAAAAAGACAAGAAAAGCTGCCTGAGACAAACTTGTATGTTGCGCTTTGCACTCACTGCATTTCATTGCTGCAGTAAGACATGTACGTGAGCAGTAGCACATACATCAAATTGTACAGGTCTGGGTTCAGTATTGCCTCATGATCAATTGACTTCTCCGTCCTTTATTTCCATTCCATAGGTTTACATATTATTTAATTTTCTGCATTAAAAAAACCTTCTGGCCAGGCAAACAGATGTTTTGAATCAGTATCACAGGATTCCTGCTGCCTGTATTTCACTTGTCCTTGTGATGAAGACAAATGTGGAAGGTGATCATACAACAATGCTGCAGGATTGTTGTTTATATACAGGTTATCTGAAAACTCCTGGGTTTTTCCAGTCCTTTGGGAAGGCGCTGGCAGAAGCAATACGTTTTTGGATGCATGTGTTTATTATTCATTGCAGGCTACCTATGTCAGAGATCACATTGCCAGTGACAGTTCTTTTTATCCTTTCGCTAGCAGGGCGTCAAGTACATGCTGGATGGGAAGCATGTGGTGTAAAATACTGTGGTGAGTACGTGCAGGGCCACTTAGGTGATACTTTTAGAAATGATTTAAACTAATCTAAGATGATACTGTTGTCAAACTGTATGTGGCCGTAGGTTCCTGTCTCACTAGTTTGCTGCTGCTGCAGTCATGCAGCTGAGCAGCCAGTAACAGCAGTAAACTGGCCCAGGAGTAAGTCAGGTTTTTTGTAGGTTTATGTTTTTGCCAAACTAACCAGGCTTAACTAGAGGACATAGAAGGGACCTTTTTATTATTATTTGGGGATGTTTCATTGCTTTTATGTTGATATTTCATTAATATTTTTGAAATACTGAAAAAATAAAAGTACTGATTGTATCTTTCAGAGTTGTTCCCAGCAGGGAATTTGTGTCTGGAGCACATTTTAGATTGGAAGCAGTGGAATAATTTATTTCTGCAGAAAAATACACTCTGGATTTAGGGGTGGGCAGCCCCTTGAGAGTAGTTGCTGCTGGGACGCAGAATCAGAGTAGGGATCTTGGCCCTTCTCACATGGCAAAGCTCAGAGGTGTGGAAACCTCGTGGTGGGTTAGTTTATGAGACGGTAAATCCGAGCCCTTTCTGATGGAATAATTTTCTCGCCTTCGCGTGGAGAACCTCATGGAAATCTAGCCCCCTCTTGTGGTTTTTCCAAACAGAAGGTGTGAATCGATTCGAACTTGGTTCCGAGTAAGAACAGATATACCTGCATCTTTTCTCTGAAAGTTGATACGGTTATTGGTATTAGTCCCAGGATATAAAATTATAATCTTTATTTTTTTTTTATTTGCTTTTCACATGCAACTTCACAGCCATTTTCACCAGAACATAGGGGAAAGGCATTTGTTGGCTATTTCTGTAATCTCACTTTTCTTCAAATTGAGGGAGGAAGAGTCCTAAATACTGAAGGATAAAGACTCTCCTGATTGACTGAGAAAGTACAGAAACAAACACAGGCATTTGGTTGTCTTACACTGATCTGTGGTTTATTTTGGGTTGAACCAACATGGATGATACTAACAAACACCAAGTCAGTGTTTGTTAGTGGATGAAGAACAAATGCACTGACCTTCTAACACTGTTGAATGTGTGAACCCAAGCTGTGATTCCAGAAGGCATTCCAGGGAGTCCACAGCACTGGCTTACCCAGCCCTGACCCCTTGTTCTTCACCTCAGGCCTCATTTGCAATACCAGCATGGTCGTTGGATGATTCTTCAGTTCCATTTATGGTTCACTATGCAGAAAACAGAAATTCAGCTGCACTGTTCCCTTACAGCACTTCTGGCCATGTGAACTGCTGTTCCAGAGCAACATGAGCAGCAGATCGAGAATAGGAGTCACTGACCTCATAAGGCACCTGCTCCAGCCAGCTTAACCAGCTTTGGCAGAAGTTGAGAAATCAGCTGTATAGAGCCTAGTCTGACCCTGCAGATACCTTGACTGAGGCAGGTAGCTTTAAGATAGTATAGAGCTCACTGTCCCTTCCCTCTGCCCTGGGTCAAATGATGAGTCCAGACCTCAGGTGCAGCAAGGAATGTGAGACTGTATCAGTTATGAAGAAGGAAGGTGAAAGGCTGTGGAGTGGGAGACCATCTTGCTGAAGCAGTGAGAAGCATCTGTAAGGACTCAACATCAGCAGTGGAACTGCTAATGCCATGCACAGGAAAAAACTGGTAAAGAATGCTGGTTACTTAGATAAAACCACATTTTCCGTACAGAAGAGGGAGTATTTTTATTCCATCTGTGTTTTTCTGAAGAGAGAGTGCTCCATCCCTGGCAGTATACAAGGCCAGGTTGGACAAGAGCCTTGGGTGACATGGTCCCATGGGCAGGGAAGCCTCGCACTAGACCATGTTCCCCAAGGCTTTGTCCAACCTGGCCTTGCACACTGCCACTTCTTTGGGCAACCTGTTCCAGTGTCTCACCACCCTCACAGGAAAGAACTCATTCCTTATATCTGACCTCCTCTGGACTTGCTTGAATAGGTCCATGTCCATCTTGTGCTGAGGATACCAGAACTGCACACAGTGCTCCAAGTGGGGTCTCACAAGAGCAGAGGGGAAAAGATAATACAATCTTCTAGTATTTAATTCTTGGTCATAAAAATGAACACTGTATTCTCTAGATGCAACATGACCAACGTAAAGAATTCTAATATTTAAGATGTGCAACTTTTTCCTCTGCAGTTACAAATGAGAATTTTATTTTCTAAAGTCTGGGTTTATTTTAAAAGTCAGGTTTATAAGTAGTTTGGCCCTTGGTATCACTCAAATACAGAAACTCACTTAAATACAACTTCTGTTAAAATAAACTGAATTTTATCTGAGCAAGAACTTTGGAGATCTAGCTCCTAATCTGCACCATATGTTGGCATGTTTCCTTCTTGGAGATGTCATTTTGCTTTGCTTCCAGCAGTTAACATTTCTTTTACAGATAAAAAAAAACCCTGATGAGAGACTACAGATAGCCTAAGGGATAGGGGATGGGTATCTGCTGAATTGCCAGTGTCTATTTGAGGGTCACCATCTTCCACAACTATGTATTGCATTCTGAGACCTTGCAAAATGCTTAGCATTATTAACATCCTTTGCAAAATTCTCCAGTTGCAAAAATCACTCAGTGGGTATTAAGACTAAAATGTATTTAGAAGTGTCTTGCAGTCTTCCAGAAATAACTTTGTACAAGATGATGGATGACTAGTATGTTCACAATGCTTAGGGATAGTGCTGTGAAGTGGAAGAGTCTTTCCATAAAGTAAGATCAAGATAGGTTTCTCCAGCAAACACTTAGTCCTCGCTTAAGTATCTGCTGCTGACTGCATCTGGTAGTTTATCATTAAATAGTATCTTCTCTGTATAATGGCTTCTGTAATGGATGTTCAGTGCAAACAGGAATGCACAGGAATGAATATTCACTGAATCTGAGCTTTTCCACAGACTGGGCAGGATTTCTGGCATGGCAGAAAGATGGCAGAAATCTCCCTGTGTGTAGTAACCTGTTTCTGGGAAATTTCTATTTCTACCTTTTCCAGTGAGGCCGTTGTTGTGTAGTTACGAGTACCTACTAGTCACTCACTCTTTGAGAATGGTGAGCGTGCAAGGCTGTCCTGCTGCCTCCCTGTTTGAACATACAATTTCTACACTACTCAAGGCACTTTCAGTATTGTTATCTTGAGAATTTTAAACGAAAACGCTTGATGATGAGCCACAAACTGCATACGGGTTGGTCTGTAGTTGTGGCTGGTTTCCTACTGCTTTATTGATCTTGTAAATCGCTTCTGGTTTATTCCAAGAATGAGTAAAATGGCTCACAACAGTTGGTTGAAACCCTTCCATTCTGGAATAGCCCGCACGTTACAGACCATCCAAAAGAGCGAAGAGGCTGTTTTGTAAGTGTTGGTTATAAAATAACTTCCAGGCAGCGCGCTTACAAAACGAGTTGGCTAAGGACTGCAGTAAGCCGCCCCGGGCGGGGCACTGCTGACCGCTCTCGCTCCGCGCCTTTGCTCTCCGTCCAGCACAGCCCCGTTGTACCCCCGATGCTCGCCATGATCCCCGCGCCTCGGCGCGTAACGGCTCATCCCGAAAACAGCCCGCGGCTCCTGACAGCCCGAGTGAGCATAAACCGTGCCTGAGTTCCCGCTTCACCCGACCACGCCCTGCAGGAGCCAGCGGGACACGTTCCGGGATCGTGCGCGCTGTGAAGCGCGGGCACCCCCCGGCTGCGCTGCGCCCCCACCCCGCGCCCCAAACCCGGCTCCTACCCGCGAGCCTCGGCCCCGCCTCCGCACCCTCACACGCGGCCCCGCGCAGGCGCACTCGGTGCGCCCGGGCCTCCCGACCGAGAGCCCTCTGCCTGACTTTCACTCCCCACGTGACTCCTGACGCCAGGGCTGCGCCGCGCGACGATTGGATGCCAGCGTTCCGCGCCCAAAGGCGCTGCTGTGTCTCGTCGCCGACCGCGCAGGCGCAGCAGCCGCCGGTGGCAGTGCCGGGCCCTGTGGGTACCGGGGCGGCGGGGCGTGAGGAGGGCGCGGTAGCGGCGCCCCCAGGTCCTTGCCCCCGTCGCCGCCCGGTGCCCGCCGCCATGAAGATCTGGACCTCGGAGCATGTTTTCGAGTGAGTGCGGGGCGGGGAAGGCACGAGGGGAGCAGTAGCGCTGGGCTCAGGGATGGCGGCCGCTCCTCGCGGGGGCCAGGAGCTGAGGGGGCTTCCCGGCCTGCAGGCCGTCTGGCCCGGCCCGGCCCGGTGCAGCGGCCCTGCGCCCGCCGTCGTGATCGCTCGCCTCACTTGACCTTCCCCCTGCGCGTCCTTGCGCCGCGGGGTCACTCGCCGCGGGGAACCGCTCGCCGGTGTCGAGGCACAACTCCGAGGCATGTGGCCGCGGTGGGCAGAGCACCAAGCCTGCTGCCAGGCGGGGGGGCGCGGCTGGGGCGCAGTTAAGCTACCAGAAGGCGGGCACCGCTGCCGACTTGGCGGGGGCCTGCCGTTAGCCGGGGGCTTCTGGGGAGGCGTAGCCGGTGAGGCTGTGGAAACCGTTTCCCTCTGAACCGGGAGGCGTACCTACTGTGTCGGCTGTGGTGAAGGCTTTGTGCTGCCCTTGCGTCCGGGTGTAAGCCTGACCGAAGTGTTAGGAGTCCATTCGTGTTGTTGGGGCTCCAGTGCCCCAAAACACCTCTGCCGAAAAATAATCCGAAGAAATTGCTTGTTGGAGGAAAGTAACAGCTTAATAAATTGCTCCAGTGTTCCTGAAGCCTCATAAAAGTTGCATTCTTTCAGCATTATGTCACAGGGAAAACATTCATACTGAATTAGAAGCCACAAGGTAGTTGAGCTCAGGAGTCCTGATGAATCAGGTGTGTTGTATGTGACCTTCTATGTACCTCTGCCCAACCTGCAAAATGGGTGTTTTCCTTTACGGAAGGGTATTTGTGGGGTTGAGAATTGGAAATTGAACTGCTTTAAAAATGCCATTTGATTGATGTGCTCATTTTTACTACAAATCCCATTAAAAAAAAAGGTGTACAACTCTGTCTTGGTTCTGGTTTGGCAGCCACCCCTGGGAAACTGTGACAACGGCTGCCATGCAGAAGTACCCAAATCCCATGAACCCCAGCGTGGTTGGTGTCGACGTGCTGGACAGACATGTCGATCCTAGCGGGAAGCTGCACAGCTACCGGCTCCTCAGTACGGAATGGGGAATACCTTCCATTGTGAAATCGGTATGTGTCTTGTCACAGAGCTTGGGAAGTATGCCAGAGGGTGAGGGAAGCTTGGGAGTCAGGTGTTGTAATACATGCGTATAATTTTATAACTGTAATGGTTTGAAAAGATAAGCGTCTTTTCTGAGGAAAGCTCAGCAGCAGTACACACAGGGACTTCCTCATAGCAAAAGATTGCCCAAGCCTTAGATTGCTTCCATCTTGAAAATTGTATCTACCTCAACTGAATAATTTTTTTAAGCTAAACTGTAATTCTGATGTCTCAGTGTTTGATACTTCTGTCTTTAAAGGCACTAGAAAATATCAGCTGGTTTGTGTGATTAATGCTGTATATGTTTGCCTGCCTTCTAGCTTATCGGCACATGCAGAACAAAGACCTATGTTCAGGAGCACTCTGTTGTTGACCCGGTGAAAAAAACAATGGAGCTTAAATCCAGCAATGTAAGTAGCTGTGTTTGTGCAACTGAAAGAGACTGTAGATTATAATACCTTGTAAATTGGAAAAGGAAATTAATCTTGAAAATGACCTGAAAATTGCACTAGAACAATACAAGTTAAAGGTTTATGTAACGTCTTCATAGTGGACCAGTTCTGCTTTGCAGAAAGGTGCTAATGGCTTTTGGAACTTGTCAGGAAAGAAGAATCTGAACATGCTGATGAGCAGGACAGGAGTAGTTTTGGGGGAAGAGAAGCATCAAGAAAAGGAACTTCTAAAAGCCATTTGGTGTGCACTGTTTCCTAATTTTGCTCTTTGTACTGCCCAGTCCCACTGTTGAAATGTTATAAATGGGGTAGTTATAATGGTAAATGTCACAGAAACTTAAGGAAACGGACCCAGATCAGCAACTGCTGAACTTGGATTTTTCAACATAGAGAAATCTCAACCCGAATATTTGCAGGGAAAGTACAATGTTTAATCTGACATAGAAGCATAGTTTTGAATCTGCAGGTTTATTTCCTACTTTTGTTTAATATTTTTATCAAGGGGTAATCTTGTTTTGTATTCTGCAGATTTCATTTACAAATCTAGTGTCAGTAGATGAAAGGCTTGTCTATAAACCACACCCTCATGACCCATACAAGTAAGTATGTCTGTGTTCTGACATTGCCCAGAAGTAGTACAGAGTCTGACTTTGAAAATTTCCATGGTTTCTCTTGAACAGGAGATGAGGTTTACACCTTGTCTCAAAAAGAATTAAGTGGACTGCCATTCTCTCTGGTGACACTGTTTCTGCAGAGCGCTGGTGGGACACTCGGTGTCACACTATGACGGAGCCCAGTTCAGATCAGCTCTTCAGGTGTTGTCTTGTGTCCTGTCAGTAACTTGAGTTTGTATTCTGCTTCAGTTATGATGCCCTATTCCTGATCTCCTTATCTACCTGAGCACAAAACGTGCACTAGAAGGCACATCTATCTCCCTGTAGTGTGTAATTTTTGAGGTTTGGGTTTTGGTGTTTAGTTTGTTGGTTGTTTTGGGGTTGGTTTTTTTGAGGCAAACTAGAGCTTTCTGAGTCTGTATTGCTGCAATTACTGATAATTCTGAAGGATCTTTCCAGAGATTCTAACATAAGAGGGTTTTTTTCTTTCTTGGTCAGAAGTGTTAAATCCCTGTTGTTGAAGGGGATGTTTTAATGCTGTTTTCCCAATATACCTTCACTCCAAATCTGCTGTTTTCACTCTTCTAGCTGCTTAAGATGCATGAAGGGACACTTCCACTTAGTGGAGACTCATGGATTTTATTTTATGAATAGAAGCATAAATCATAGAATGGGTTGGAAGGGACCTTAAAGCTCATCCAGTTCCAACCCCCTGCCATGGTCAGGGACACCTTCCATTAGACCAGGGTGCTCCAAGCCCCATCCAGCCTGGCCTTGAACACTGCCAGGAATGGGACAGCCACGGCTTCTCTGAGCAACCTGTGCCAAGGTCTCACGACCATCACAGAGAAAAACTTTCTAATATCTAATCTAAATCTACCCTCTAATAAAGCATTTGTACACTGTGGAAATGGGTTATGTTTCTGGGGAAGTTCTGTGTTACACAGCAAAGCTGATAAGAGAATGTTTGTTGGGAAGAAGTGAGTTTCTTTCAGCAATGCATTATTTTTTAAGCTACTCAGAATAATTCTGTTTCTTGCTGTGTTTCAGAACCATGTTGACACAAGAAGCAATAATATCAGTAAAAGGTGTAAGTCTTAGCAGTTACTTAGAAGGGCTAATGGCAAACACAATTTCTTCCAATGCTAATAAAGTAAGTATGATCCTTGTGTATAGTGTGTGACCACTTGCTAAAGGACAAAGGGGAAAAAAAATTTTACTTTTTGGCTTTGACAGCAGCCTTGGGAAGGGCCCACACAGTTCTGCTGTCTTTACTGTAGAGACGGAACGCTCAGCTTGCTGAACTTCCTCATTTTTATTTTTTTTCCTCTTGTGAATGAAGATAATAAATTATTATTGGCAAAGCTCCCTGACTCTTCACTGGAAAAAAACATCTCCACTCAACAGGTCTGGCACTGTCACGCTTTTGCTGCCCTCCTGATGGCATCCATTAGTTTTTTGTTATTGAAAAAGATCTGAAGTAGCTGTGCAGGAGTAATGAAGTGGTGTTTTAGTTGAGGGTTCTGTAGGAATCCAGAGATGTCTTGAGTTCAGCCTCAAGAATGATAAAACAATCTGGATAAAAACTTCCGTGACTCATAATGTGAGCAGTGCTCACATAAGGAATTTTTTTCATGGAATGTAAGGCAGGATGTGTTCCTGCCGTACTCCAGTTATTTAAGTAAAAAGTACCACAGAGGCCTGTATTTCTGTACCTTTCCTTTGGTTTTCAGCTATTGTGTCTAGTCATTTTCAGCAAGACAGGGTGGAAACTGTTTATTTACTAAGATTTATACGCTGATAAATTTTTCTTTAATTGTAGGGCCGTGAAGCATTGGAATGGGTAATTAATAGGCTGAACGCAGAGATTGAAGAGTTTGCAGCTTCAGCAAGAGGAACCATGAGGAATTCAATGGCAGCAGCAGCATTTGTAGAGAAATGACAGTAAATATACCTGTATTACTAAGGAGGTTTAACAAGCTGAAGCTTCTCTCCAAGCCTAAATACATGTATCCTTTGTTATTTAAAGGCATACCTGTGTATTAGGCAGGTTTTAAATTTAATTTTGAGGAAAAACTGCATTCTTACTAAGGAGATTGATGGCAAAGCCCAGGTAATATATTGGTTCAGCTGAACCAGGTTTTGGTTAGAGATGAAGAAATAATTTCAAGTGTAGTTCCTTACATGAACACTAACTTGTAATGTTCTCAGATATGAAATAGCCTCGTTTGGTGATGAGGCTGCGTATGGTGGAGAAGACTGCATGTTAGGTTAACTTCTGTGGAATTTTTATGTGTGTGTATAACTTATGGACTACCTCTTTTGGGACCAAGCCCAAAATTAAGCAGAATGGTTTGTTCCATCATTGTTCTCTTTGTTAATTCTCTATAGTTGTGTGATACAACTTGATTTAATAGAAAGTTTATTACTTGATGCTTGAAATACGGAAGAATGTATAAAATATCTTTTGAGCTTTTTAACTTGACTGGTTGAGATAACATGGTACTCAAATTTGTTTTGCAGTCAATATGGGTAAAACATACTAAGTGTCTCTTATCTGTTAAGATCTAAATTCTATTCTGAAGTGCGACATTAGTGAGCTGGGTGTGCCATAACTGAAAATAAAATCCAATTTGAAACTCCTGTAGTAAATATCTCCATTTCTAAAAGCCTGCTAACTACAGAGGTACAATCTTGCAAGCTGCTAGGATGTCTAAGAATAGTAGGTGTTCATTTCAGAATTTCAAAGAAACACTTAAAGATCTGAAAAATCTTTGTAAATTTGGCTAAAAAGATACCTGAACATAAAAGTAAGTAATATTAATGAATTTTAACAGCATACTTGTTAATTTGGTCATGCTCCAAAAATAACCTTACATCAACTAAATATTGTGTTGTCCTTTAAAGTGGTTTTTAAGTTCCAGAAGTTCCTTCTGAACTAATTTGCTCATGATACAAGGCTCTTTAAATGAAAACTGTGAGAATATGGTGTTCTACAGTTTGTGTTTGTTTCTTGGTACTCATTGTAGATTCTTGGTACTGTCACCAGTCACGAGCTGTGGGAACGTAAAGGTCAGACCCTGACATCCTCACATAGTACACCAGCCTGCCTGGTAGTCCTGTTGACTCCATTAGGTGCCATCTGTCCCATGAGGATTCTTCAGTGTGAGGGGAAAACAGGACACAGCCCTGAACAAGTTGATGCTTGTAGTTTGGTGCCAGAGGCTCTTCCTAGAATTTTGATTCTAAGCTTACAAGTGATTTCAAGACTCTCTTAGTCTTTAAAAACTGTAATGTCATCTGTCCAGTATATTTTATGTTGCATGCCATTTCTGTTATCAAAATTCTCTATTGAATAGTGTCTGCTATATAGAGAACCAGAGATTATTTTAAGTTGTAAACACACAAGAACATTCTTCTGTAAGATTTGTGTAGGGGGAAGAAAACGGGTCTGGGGGTGTATGTAGAAATATAACTTTTTAAAATATAGCTATTCTAAATATTTTTCTAAAAAGAAATGGTTTGAGACTCTTACTAAATTGAAATCACTAAGCTTTGCCATGCTTTTATAGGAGATTATTGCAACTGAAACAGCATTTTAATTTAAAAGGTATACATGAAACTTCTGCAAAAGTGTACCATCATTTCTGATAAAAATACAATGCTTGAAACTCATCTGAAATGTTTGTTTAGCCATTAGCACTACTTGGTAGTTTTCTTTTCCTGATTTTTCCACACTAAGGACTGCATAGTATGAACTCACAGTTTGCCTTTGCACTGAACAAAAAAGCAACTTACTGTTTAATCTTTGCAAGCATTCAACATCTCGAAAGATCATTGTTTTATTTTATTTATATGACTGCATTCTCAGTCTGCCAGAGTATGTGGCGGTTTTTAAATAAAACTTTTATCTGAATTCTGGCTAGCTCTGAAACTTTCTGTTTGTTTTTATAACTACGAGGTGAGTACTCTAAGATGGGGGGGGGGGGAGGCGAATAAATACTCTGGAGTTAGTAGCTGCTCTTTGAAATTCATATCCTAAAATGCACATTTATAGCTGCTGTGCTTTTTTTTACTTCTTAGTAACTGCAAATCTGACACATTAACCAGTGACCAGACTGCAGTTTGCTAGATCCTATGGAATGACTGACAGTCTACTTGGACTGAGATGGGTCATGCTCACTGTTGTTAAGTGCAGAAGAAAACAAAATGTTTCGGTCTGTATTGTCATGTAACGGCTTGGTGTGTTCACCTCAAAGTCTCACAGTAAGAGATTTCAGGTGAAGTAGCTTTGCTTGATAGGGAGTGGACAACTGTGCACAGCAGTTACAATGTGTATGGAAAGGGAAGTAAGATGCCTGCCCTGGCCTCAGCACTCATACCTATGTATGCATGTAGATATGCAGGTGGTTTCTTTGCTGGCCACTTCAGCAAGTCGTATGTTACCTGTGGATCAATGTCACAGTGCTCTGCAGGGCTGTGTCATGGCTGACAATGCTCTGATAAATGCAGCATGTCACACATGAATGCACTGGCATTGCAAAAAGTGCAGCCTGAGGTAGTGTGGAGAAACTCTGGGTTCTGGTGGTTAGAAGGAATGGAGGAGGTGGGTAAGAGAAAGGAGCTATGGCTGGAGGGACAAAACTTAAAAGGACCAGGAAGAAAGAAAACGGGAGGGAGGGGCAGAGGTGGAACAATGTGAACAGATTGGTGGTGGAGTCTCTGGTGGATTTGCTACCTGCTGCAGCTTGACTAAATGGATTGTTTCAACTTACCCGCTTTTAAATCACTTAAAATTTGAACTTGCGCGAATAACTTCACTGAGAACTAGAACTGAAGTGAGAAGTCTTAAATATTCTCCAGACCATTTAGCTTTTAGAGCCAAAGCTAAATGGCTTGGAGAATATTTAAGATGGCACCATTAAATCTTTTGTTCCCACTGCTCACCTTCTGAAGTTTGCAGTAATCGTTTGGGTAACTTTCTCATGTTCCTGCCAGGAGGAGGAACATACTACAAGTTTCCAAGGAACTGGTCTAAAGCAAGTTGTATCTAGAAATGCTATTACAATTGATCTAAAATCATAAGTTTAGACTGCAGTTCCTGGAAGTTTGAAGTCTTGGCAAGCTTAATGCCCTCTTTTTTCTGTGACTGAACACTGGCATCACCTGCTGGTTCTGCTGGAAACACTGTGCTCTCCAATTGTCAAATGCTTGTATGGACGTTGCCACATGCCTATAGAAAGGTTCTTAAGTCTTTATCTAAAAGTTGAAAAAAAGAAATACAAAAATGATTTTTCCTCAGGTTTGATATAACAGTTATCCATACCAGTGCTGGGATTTTGGTGTTAACTTAGTAAATGACACTTCTTGATTTAAACAGGTTCAAGATGGCTCAAGCAGCAGTATAACGTTTAACTTGTTTAACTGCAAGGCATTCTAGGAACATGTCTATTGGGTTTAAAATTTTTTTGATCTGTGTGGGTGTCTAGTTTCCATGTATCCATCTGCACTAAAACGTGTTGAAGACTTCTGTCTGTGCACCTAGCAAGGTTTGCTTACTACTTGTGTTCTGCAAGGTACTGCTTTTGATAGTCTGAAATGATGAAAGCTGCTACCGTGGAAGAAAAAAATCCTGAATTTACTGTGAACTGAAACAACTTGTGTCTGTATGTACACTAAAATAATACCACTGTCTTCAGTCAGCAATAAAAACGAAGTACTATTAAAAAGGCTTAACTTACCTGAGAAATCTTTCTTCTTGCTGACAGTGGCTGTCAGCATCTGCCCAGTGACAGCAGTTAACTATAAATGTAAACCAGTTTTTTGTTTTGGAAAACAGAAAATACTTTAACCACATTTCCTACAACTGCTGATCTTTCTGTTGCAGTCTGTACTTGCAGTTAAACTGTACAGTCTAGTGTATTTCCAATAAATGTTACGTACAGTAAACCTCAGCACCCATTGTCAAAGCCCTGTGGCACAGTTCAGAGGAAAGATCAGCATCCTGCTGAGGTTCATGTTTATAGAAGAACTGAAGAGTTCTGATAAAGAGAGCTTGTGTGAAAGCACCGAGTGGTTTTAGCATCCTTCTATTTCTCAGTGAAACATGTTCTTTCACTTGCACTAAACATGGTAGTTTCTCAAGTAATTTGATAGCTTTGCTTTGTATGTTGCCATAGAATTGTGTTATTCTAAAAGTGAGGGTACATGTTACAGCTAAGCTTAACTAATTGCTTACTTTCAATTAAAGGAAACAGTCCTATGTGTGTCTGCCTGCCTCTTTCCTGGCTGTGCCGTTCTGCTTCTTCCTCTGCACTGAAGGTAGTGGTCTTCACACCCTTTGTTGAGCCAGAAAATGAACAGGAGAAGAGGTGTCATCTTTAGGCAGCCAGCAGCAAGGTGAGAGGCACTGTAAGAGTAGAAATGGAGGATCTCCTTATCTGTAGGAAGCTATCAGGTGGGCTGAAATTATGTTTTCTCTGCAATATGTATTACAATAATTTCATATTGCATCTACTAGAAAGTGTTTACAGCATCGAATAATGTAATTAAACAGTAAAAATTACAGTTCTGTAAAACAGTAACATTGGTAAGTTAAAGTCTTTCTTCTCAGACATATAAAGTTCAGCACAAGGTGGCTTTTTTACATTTTTTTGTTCTCTAGAAAAGTTTGGCAGTACTTTAATCAAAAAGTTTAAAAACTGAAGTAGTTTATATATTATCAAACTGAATATATCGACTAGAATATAATAAAATGAACAACATATGTAGCAAATATTTTCCTAAGTCATGTACCGAATCTTTTTTACATCAGATTAAATCAAACAATTGCCCCTGCTGTGAACTTTAATATTCCTAGAGCCTGTTCGACTTTGTGGGCACCCTGGTAAGGAATCTGTTTTATATTATGGCATGTAGCATCCTTTGGATGAGTTCTTCTTAATAGTTTTTTGGGGACTAAGTAGATATTATTTACCTATGAGATAACTGTGCTGGTTTATCTAGATTTAAACTCATTTACATACAGCAGCTGCAGCACAATTTAGTAGGCATGTTGTGAAGCTGGGACTAAGGAAGTGTGTACCAGAACCCGCACTTGAAATTTCTTTATATTTTACAGCTGTGTCATGCTCCAAATGATCTAACTGAAGTACTAGGAGCACATAGCCTGATGCTCTATACAGTTTTATTTTCTCTATAATTGCCAGGTTTGAGAGACATTTCAGCAAGCTATGCCATTTCCTTGCTTTTCCTGCGAAAGAATAGAAAGAACAAAGCAGGCTGCTACTGCACAGGTGATATTTTTCCCTATCTGCAGAGTGAGATGCACTAATGGCCCTTATTTACCAAGGTTCCTAAGTCTCCCTTGTCTTTCAAAGAAGCAGAAGCACCTGTGAGACTTACAAATTTCTGAAAACAGGCTCCAGCTGTTGGTGTCACCTTGGGGGGGTTAAAACCTTTACTCAATATTATCATCAGCTGTGGACAGTGTTTTACATTATTATGCTGTTTTGTCAGAACAACATTCATAAAGCTAACAAAAGTTACTAAACACATTAAAATAGAACATAATGCACAAGATTCTTGAAACATAGGCCTACCTGAGTTCTGCTCTGCAGATCTTGGGTCCCTCCAGGGACTATTTTATGCCAGATTTTGTAGAATGGACAGCTGGGAACTTGGATGACACTGCAAAATTATTTTTACTTTTAATCCAGGTGTCCGAAAGTTAGAAATTAATGTCTTCATCTGCTTCATCAATGAACCTTGAAAATGTTGTCCTGTAATAAGAAACATCACAGAACTGCAATTTAAGATGAGCGCTAATTTCGGCATGTTTTCTGCTGGTGCTCTGTGCAGTGTTGTACTTAGACGAGAGGAGATTTAACAGGAGATGACCCGTATTGTCATCAGCATGGCATGATTTCCAGTAGCTGTGAAACAGATTAGGGTCATCAGCAGAGAGAGCAGCAGAGCTTTACCAGCACAGCCCAATATGGCTTACACAGGCAGAGAAAGGAGATAAATCCACAGCTATCAAAGGTAGGAAGCATTACTACTGACCTCTACATTTTATACAATAGTGACTGTAATTCCATGTTTCTTGATAGCATTGTTTCATAGGAAAATGGGCAATAACTTTGCACATTTTAAATTAAGGCAGAAGAAATACAGGGAAGAGATGATGGAATTTCCACTCTGTTGGAAATCATGTTGATGCTGGCTTTTTCTTCTATTGCCATATGCCTTCTGTATAATCTGTTGTTCTCCTTACAATGCACTTGAGAAATTTAGGATTGAAGTCAGTCACAAAATCATAGTGTTATACAGCAAGGGATATTTTTTAAGGGGTTACTTATTTTCATTGTTTTAAGAATATAGGGCAGTAAGCAGACTTGTTTCATCACAAATTATACATGTTAAGAAAAATTAGCTTCTGCCTTTTGATCTATAAACATTGTACTCTTGATAGAATTACAGTCATGTTGCATGAGCTCTAAAGATACAGATGTGTTATGAATAAATAGTAACTGTATTCAGGAATTTGGGGTTTCATCATTGGTACATAAACAGCTTTATTTTTTTTCAGCCTGGTAGATTTTGTGTTATGCTAAATCCCCATAGTTTTAGTATGTGCATAGGAAGACGCTATTTCTGTCAGGCAGACACCTGCTTCAGTTAAGAGGTGATCTCAGTGGGAGTTCCACCCATGGTGATTATGTTAAATCCATTATATATGCATCTGGACATCAGTTGTGTAATAACATGGGCAAAGCCTGGGTGCATTCACCTAAGAAGCTGCAGCCTCCTCTATCTTTCAAGTGTATCTTTAACTTTCTTGGTCCATAAAATACTGTTGTAATGACTTTCTGAAAAATTTCTATGTGTATTGCTGTGCCTGCGTCTGGAAAGGCAAGAGCAGGT